TGTTCAGATAAACTGCTGAAATCACTTCTAAATTCCTAAGTGTACCCGCAACCTCCAGGCTCCAACCATTAATGTATCTATACTTATTTAGGATGCAACAGTGGAATTTATTGGCTTGCTGTGATGTCATTATTTTTGGTGAAACATAGATCTCTTGCAACTACTCTTGTTTCACAATCTTTTGGGTTTGGCGCTACTTGAATCAATATTTCTTGATCTTATTTTACATTACTTTTTCTGCTTCTGCAACAGGTTTTGGCTGTTTGAGCCTCGCAGTGCTATGCATGACATAGGAGGTTGGTACGTTGAGACATTTGGAAGGGATAAGAAGGGGCGGGCTGTCCCATCTCAGAGATACTGGGATGGTTTGGATGCTAATGAACAGTTGGATAAGTAAGTTTCTCATGTGTAGGCCTATTAAATATATAAAAAGAATTAAAGAACTTGTCATCTCATTTATATCTTTGTAAAGGAAGCAAAGTTCATGTACTGGGAATTTACACTCCCTTGAATTTGAGCTCTTAATAGTTTTCAAAGAGCTTAATACAATCTCACACTTGAGAGTAAATGTTGCAAATTAGCCAAAGTTATAGGCTGAATTTCATCCACTTGTCCTGAAAGTTCTGTTGTAATTGGGCTTGTTATGCCTAAATGAAACAATAACGCCCCTGTTTGGCCCCCATTATTTTGCATTTTTGGGGGTTGAAAATTTTTAGAATAGTGATTTATGGGAGAATGTGTGGTTGAAATTTTTTTGATTTGTGTATAATATTATTTTATTTGATGAATGTGTGATTGAAATGAAGAGAGAGAAAAATTTAATGTAATTTAATGGGGGCCAAACAAGGGCAAAGTTTCACATCGGTGACGCATCACGTGCAGACTGGATGATTTTTGTTTATTGCGTTCTTTCAATCTTCAATTAATTATTGAAAAAAAAGGAGCAGAACGACTGTCATTTTTTTCAGGATATCTGTTTTGTGTTCTTGAAAATGGAAGTTCTTTTTAATTCTATTCAATGTCGTATGCAGGAGAGTCCATCCCGCAATGTACTTGCTTGCTCTTGCTTATAGAACTCTGGATATCGAAAATGCAAGGAGAAGGAAACAAACAGTGAAGGGTATAGTTGAGGCCAAAATGTTTAGAGTTCTCAGTTGGTTTAAGAGATTTGTATAGAAAATATTGGCGCTTCATTGGGTGATAAATGCTGATATCCTGCATGGTGACAACATCGTTATTGAGTCCCAGGTTCCCACAAGCACCTTTCTTTAGTATTCTCTGATTGAAACTCAACTTGAAATTGTGAACGGCATTGAGCAATGTCACTCTAGATCCTTCAGTGAATATTGATTATGACGAAAAGGCTTAAAAAAACTGTTTCGAGATGATGACATGAACATGAAATCTTTGTCATCATACTTGCAGATATGACCCTCCATAAATGTCCTGCCTGGTTCCTGAAGTCATTTCTAAATAATGGCTTCTAAGTATTGGTAAGGTGATTATTATCCATTGGAGCTTATTGCACACAAGAAAGGGACAAGTATAGAACAAATCTCTCCTGGTCATAGGAGGCAGTCTATAGAGTAAGGGTAAAGCCTGCAGTCTTGTGGGCTCCTTCTCATCCCACCGGCTCAGATCCCATCTTTATCATTTCCTTTACACGAGGAGCAACTCCTGATTCATTAATCACCAGGAAAACCATCATACTGAAGTTTAAATTACAATAAAACAAATCGCAATGGGAATGCCAGGCGTTTGTACAGCCTTCATTGCTCTTGATAGTGGCTTGAATGAATTGAAAGACTTCAGCTAATTCAGGTACGTCTGACATCAGGTTTGTTCTATCTAACTTCACATCTTAAATATTAACAATCTCCACCGAAATAAATAGCAGGTACTATCTGGACCTCTGATTGTTCTGAAACTTCGTATTGCAACTTAATCACCATAAAGCAAATACATGTGATTAATGACCTTGAATATTGCAAAATGTAGTTTAGAAGTTTCACTGTATCCCACCTCCTTTGCACGTGGTTCTAACCTTGAGATATGCTGTAACTTTTTTTTTTTTACACAAAATAATGGCTCAAATGATTTGGGACTCTTATTCAATATAGATCACAGAACTTGAACGTGATCTGAAAATTGAAGCGACCATGTTTTTGTACCCTCATTTAAAGAGGGTTGAGCGTCTCATTTGCAGTACTGCCATTCCTGCAGTAGACGGGCCTTTCATCAGTAGCCTCTGCAGCGGCTGTTACTGGATCATAATCAGACGTCACTTTTGCGGGCAATATTAACGGCTCATCCCTCCACTAATTTTCCATGAAAAATTGTACTGCATAGGCTTGAAGTCTCCACTTTTCTCCTTGTACCTTATATTGTGCTCATCTAGGAGGATGAAACATTGGATAGATTTTCTTTTGTGTCAATCAGCGTACATTGGATTTGAGATATGTCCGATGTGGAGGCACACTGTCAAAACCATTTGTCATGGGAAATATTATTTTTGTAGTCATTACTTTGAGAATTCTACAAACGAAAGCAAAGGTACCCATTTGGCACCTTGCATAAATCCAGTAATCTATCTGGAGCAAGAATCTGGAAGAGGATTGGCATAACAAGCAATTGTTGAAACAATTTCTCCTTATTGATATTTGATTTACTTTCTACCATTTCTTCTTTTTCAGGTGCTCAGCGGAGAAGGAAAATACACGATGGGAGAATTTTATGATGATAAACCTATATACAAGTCTAATTAGCAGAACACAAAGATGTCATCCGTGCTTGCAGTCACTGGTTGTTTGCTTAATTTTAAAAACTGCTTATCTTTGTTTGACAAGCCTTTGACTTGCTTGCTATTTAATCTATGGCTCGTAGATCTTAGTTTACTTCTGAAGGTCTGGCTTTTAGATTTACATTTGTAGTCTTTGGGAAGTTTCTGATATTATTTTGTGATTTTGGAAGGTCGACCAAAAAACCAGAGGTGAAAATGAATTAAGGATCACAGGGACAAGTAACATTCACACGAGCATTATGTCACCTCTTCAATAATCAATTCCTACCTACAATTATCATTATATTATCAGTTTTTATATAAGCCACTGTCGGGCAGCAATTATCTGATGATTTTAGCATTCGTTTGAGCTCCATTATTTGAAAAAAAAAAGATTTTGGAAGTGTTTTTTGGAAAATATGTGGTTAAAAATAAGGATAATTTTTGATTTATGTGTGATATTATTTTATTGAAATAATGTGTGATTCATAAGAGAGTGAAAAATGATTAAATTTAATGTGGCCAAACATGGGCTTAATTAGAAATTAGACCGTTATGCAATCATTCGGGTTTTACTATTGCAGTAGTTTTTAACTCCAAAATTATCAAGTAGTTAAAAGTGGCGAATGAAAAGACATATGCGTCCCTTTGTTTTTTTCAATCCATGCCAAATTAGGCATTTCTTGGATTCCACATTCAAAATGAGAAGGCTGCATTATTGAGTAGGATCCACTTACCATGTATAACGTTCTACTAAAATTAGAATCCGTTCCAGACAAGCGCTAAGTCTTGTTTGGTTCAACTAAAATTAAATTTTTACTAGTTTTTTATAGAAGTCGATATATATGTTGTTAAAAAGTTGATAAGTTTTAAAAAATCGATGCCAAGTAAAGGATGAAAAATACCTGAACTTTCAACATTATTTTATTTTAGTCAGACTTTCTTGTTCCAAACTCTTCGCTCAAGCTTTTATTTTGTTTAGATTTGTCATCAGACATCAATGGTGATACTTTCACAAACTCTTAGGTCCTGTTTGGTAGAGATTAAATTTTTCTACAGTAAATCAATTCTCATTTTCAACCACACATTCTTTAATAAAATAATATTTTCCATCCAGTTAATAATTTTTTCTTCTTTTTCAACAACACATTTCCCATCATATTACTATTCAAAATCAATTCTTCCCCCAAAAATCTCTCCCAAACAAGCTCTTAACATCTTTTTCTACGTAACAGACGAATTTCTTATGCGAACAGTACGATCGTTAGTCTCATCCAATTGTGCATCCTTCTACTTGTGAAATTTATATTTATATAACATATAATTTTGTTAAAAATCACATATTAGTAGCATGATTTTCCTGTTAAAAGTGTGAGTTTTCATCATTGTCCAACCGACTTAACAAACTAAGTTTGCCTACATTGTAAGAGAGGACTCGTAAATTTTTCGATAGAATGGTTTTTGGTAATTAAACTGAAACTAAATTGAAACTTGAGGCATAAGTTTTAACCATGAGTGTGTTTGATAGAGATTAAAATGGGATTAAAATTGAAAAATTAGTCGTTATTGTTGACTTTTATTAAAACTGAAACTAAATTGAAACTTGAGGGATAAGTTTTAAACCATGAAAGAAAGTTGGGGGACCTCCTTTGTTATTTTACCCAAATGTCTCTTCCCGCCGCGTACGGAAGACAAGTCGTACAAAAGTCATGATCGATTTGATTGCTGCATTTGAAAGTTGAAGCATAGTATAAAACTTTGAATTCTCGAAAGCATCAAAAGAAGAGAAAAAGCACAAAAGAAAACTGTATTTACTATCGTTGCTGTAGAAAGAATTAAGACTAGTCGCCATTGAACTTTTTGATGAAATGAAGAACAAAGGAAGTAAACTTGCAGGAGCAAATTGGATGATTTTAGGGTTACCATCGATTTTCTTGCTATGCATATTCTTTTTTCTTGCTGGGTTCTTTGGTTCTAGTCTCTTCTCTCAGCAGGTCCGGCATCCCTTCAATTTCTATTTTATAAATGTCAATTTTGGAATTGACTGCTGGTTTCAGCTTTGAAATACCTATTTAATGCCAGGCTTATCGCTAATATGTTGATTATTGTTTTCACGTTAAAGCGATTCTACGTTTAAAATTGATTATAATTTATATCTGCGATAGGAAGTGTCAACTCCTTCTTTAAGGCATTGGCCTCGGGGACTGCAGGAAGAGAAGAAGAAAGAGTTTGATGCTCTGCCGCGGGGAGAGACAGGAGAGGATACTCTCACTTCGATTCCTTTTCAGGTAAGTTTTGATTGTCTCTTTTATTGAATTGTATAGCGTTTCTGGAGTCTAATTTTCTGGGCATGTCTTAAGTGATTGAATGAAATTCTAATTGTCCCTCCTGCATTGACGTTGCTTGAAATTCACTGCCCTTTGATACGGCAAATTTTCCAGGAACTAGGAAAGTATTTTCCACTTTTCACTTTTTTGGCTGTTTGATATTCGAAATTTTTCACAGAAAATATTTTCGTTCTTTCCTCCACACGTGTGCATTTTCCGACTTTTTGATGAAAATTGGTGGAAAATAATTTTTCAGGCTGGTTGAAAAAAAAATCGCAATAGAAACAAATGTTATAGCCAATGGTAATTTTTTTTTTCACTTTAATAAATAATTTTCATATAAAACTAAATCAAACGAATACTAAATTTTGATTAATAAATGATTTTTTAGGAAACAATTTTTTTTTCCCTTTTTTTTTTTATTTTTTGAAAATGTAAACAAANACAATTTTTTTTTTTTTTTTTTACTTTTTTGCAATGGAAACAAATTTTATAATCAATTATGGAAAAAATTATCACTTTAACAAACACTTTTTATGTAAAACATAGCCAAACGAATAGAAAATTATATCAATTAAACACACTTGAAATCATTTTTCCTGCAAAACATTTTCTAAGCAAATATTTTCCATGTAAAATATTTTCTTTCCACCAATTTTTCACATTTGAAATCAAACGCACCCTAATAGATTTCCAATGCATACTAAAAATGGAATTTGATATAAAATTTGAACTGTTCAACAATAAGCTGAAAACAGAAGGAAATCAGTACATTTGAAACCACAATTCTTGTTATTGAGTCTAAACATAAATATTCGAGTTTATCATCCACAGAATCTGATGGTTGTAAGTATTTGCCTTCTTTTCTTTTGAATAATAATATTGTTCCTTAATTGCTTTTATACAGATTTTGAGCTGGAATCCACGAGCATTATACTTTCCAAATTTTGCTAGTGCAGAACAATGTGAAAGCATAATCGAAGCTGCAAAGGCACACCTTGAACCATCTTCCTTAGCTCTACGCGAGGGAGAAACAGCTGAAAATACCAAAGGAATTAGGACAAGGTAATTACTATTTCCAACTGGAATCAAACGGTGGGCCATAAGTAAGCATATGTGTTATTTTATGCTCGTATGGTATTTTAAAATTCTGTTTCTGTATTGAACTTTGCGCCATAACTATAACGGTCTTAAGGCAGTGAAATTCCTTGTCAGATAAATTCTTACCTGCATGAAAAGGCGTTGCTTCATCTGTTGTGGGACTCTAAAGCATTAAATACTTTGTCGTTCTGAGAATTGTAATTAATTGTGTTTGATTGGTATAATTTTCCACCTAGAAAATGTTGAAAGTTTGGTATCCGTTTGGCTTTATTTTTCATGGAAATTGTCCATTAAAATAATAATTTTTTTTACCACTGGATCTAGCATTTGTTCCAATTGCCAAAAAAAATTAAAAAAAAAATATCAAATACCATTCGTTTGACTTTGTTTTACATGAAAATTATCAATAAAAGTGATAATTTTTTTTACTATTGTGTCTAGAATATTTTCCAATTGCCAAAAAAAAAAAATAATAAGAGAGCTGGAAAACAGAATTCCCACCAGAACCTAAAGAAAACTAATTATTGAATTGCCAAGAAAACAAGTGCGTGCCTGCTGGGGGAGGAAAACAATTTTTGGGGAAAATAAAGCATACCAAACACTACAAATGTGTGGAAATGGAAAAGCTTTTCCATTTTCCATGGAAAATGGGCTCAATCAAACATGAGTACTTGGCCATTCTGGCACCAGCAAGTTTATGTGATACATTTTAAGTTGTGATTTTCTTTGCTCTCAGTTCTGGCATGTTTATAAGTGCATCTGAAGACAAAACTGGAATCCTGCATCAGATTGAGGCAAAAATGGCAAAAGTAACAATGATCCCCAGAACCCATGGAGAGGTAATGTGACTTATGCTACATAATTGACTTTTCTCTCGCTGTACGGAAGTACACATTTTATAAATGGTATGATTGAGAATTTTCGTGCACGATAATCAAAAAGGGATCATATCAAAAGTAATTAGGCTTATCTGAATAAGAGATTTCTTAAACTCAGATAAAATATTTTGGAGAAAATTTACCTGGCTTAAGAATACTTTTTAATATAAATGGTATGTTCAGTGTAACTTTTCGTCAGAATATTAATTTAGAGTAAATATATTGTTCCTTATAAAAGTGCAAACCTCAAGTGCATGGGTTGCGTTCAAGTAACAAAGTTGTCCTTTTGAGTTCCAATTGTCGATCCCTCAAGACATGTTTACTTTCGATTACATAACTTCAATTAACTTAATTCTAATAATAAAAAGAAACACAATTAAAATTTTGATTTGAAAATATGGAAACAATAAATTAAGTGTCTGTTTGTCAACCATTATTGAGAAGAAAATGGTGTAATGAATAGTATTTTTTGAAAAATGTGTGGTTGAAATTGAAAGAAACTTTATCGGTTTATGTGTAGAATATTTTATTATTTAAATGTGTAGTAGAGATTGATTACTATAGAAAATAATTTTTTGAAAAATGGTAGACAAACAGGGGCTAAAACTCTACAAACTAAGAAAACATAAAAATTTGGGAATTTCGGAGGGAAACATGGTTGTGATTCGTGGTTGTCTAATTAATTTCTCCACAAACCAATTGACAAATTACTCATTTACGATGTTAGCCCGATTTTCCAATAATAGTTAATTACCTCTCGAGCGAGCTTGAAGTTTAGCTTTCCGATGGTTTTGTGGT